ATTAGATCTCATGATCTACACAGTCAAAGGTTTTGCTATAGTCTTTAAAGCATAGACTGGCCTTACAAAATTATTAATACTACTAATGAAACAAAGACTCTGGATTCTTATTGAGCATCTGACTGACCACTGTTGGAAGCTGGATGCTCAGTAGATCAGACCTCTTATGTTTTGGTATCCAGTGCGCTTGGCAAACTTGTAAATTTCAGGTATAGAAGGAATAATGCACTATTATTGAAGCCAAGCAGGACAGATCTCCTAGACTAAAGCAGGCAGATGCAAATTTTTACAGGGGTCGGTGAGCATCATCTGACACAGTCTGGCCTATAGCTGAGTGACGACACACAGCTAGATTGCCTTTTGACATTTTCCATCAACCGTTGTGAAAGGAAGTCCTGAGGCCACTAGCAAAGTAAATGAATAGCTTGCAAGGTAACCATAATGAAGTTACTTTCCCAGAGTGATGTTGCTGTCTTCTTAAGCCTATCATTTGGTTCTTTAGGCACCAGACCCACAAGTTTTAATGGCGAGACATGGGACTTGAGCATTTGTCTATTAAGGATGTCATTACTGATTCCAGAAGCCCTAGTTACTGCCAATTTATATAAAAAGTCACCATGGATTCTAGCTTAAAAATAAGTTTATTTTATGTATGTAGCAACAAAAAATTAATATGTACTGTCCAGCAGTCTCAAAGACTTTCAAAACACTCAGATAACCAAACATTTAGATAAGCTGGCCTGATATTTACATAGGATTATGTTGCTATTATTAGTCATTTATGGAGCACTTTCTTAGCATGCCAAGTGATTTACAGTCCTTATCAGCTCCTTCCTCCCAGCAGCCTTATGAAGATCATTATTATTCCTGTTTTTACAGATGGGGAGCTGAGTTTGAGAGATAGAGACTTGCCTAAAGCCACCCAGGGAGTCCCTTGCTGTGCTTGGATTTGAAATTGAGTTTCCCAAGTTGATTTTCAAAGCTTGGTCCTCTGGATTATGCTGACAGGCCCAGGGGCAAAAAAAATGGATTCAGATTATTAGTTTTGAAAACCTGTGAGAAAGCTGCAGTGTGTGTCTCAGCAGATACATGCAGTCCTCCCACTCCTGGAAATCTTCTGTGCTTGGTGTCCAAATTATTGATCAGGAAACACACAATATTTGTTGGGGCTGTTGCTTCTTCACCCTACTGATTTGTCCATCTGAAAGGAATGCACATGCATTTTGTCTACAGTGTTCGGTGTATAAAAGCACACAGAGATCTTTTATGTTCTTCTCCTCCCCTTTTTAATTATCTGGCATAGTACAGACAAGATAATACCAGCTGTGTTGAGCTATTCACAGAACCCTGCTCACTGAAAAGGACAATAATGCTAGGAAAACTTAAAGGCAGTTGGAAAAGAAGATGGCATAATGTGATGGACTGATTCAATAAAAGAAGTCTTAGACTTGAGTGTGAGAGAACTGAGCTGAGCTGTTAATGAGAGGACATTTTGGAAGTCCTTAATTCATAGGGTCAATACAGATCACAACAACAACATAACACATTTTTAATAACTTAAGATACACAACTTTAATAATTCATATCCCGTCATCTATATATTTATAGATAATTATATCCAAGCATCCTTTTTAATTTTTTCTTGTATGACATCCCTAAAAAACTGAATCTTTTGTTCACAGGCATCTGGAGTGTTGGTTCCAATACAGTGGGGTCTTGACTTGAGAACTTAATCTGTATTGGAAGCCGGTTCTCAAGTCAAAAAGTCTAAGTCAAGTCTCCATTGACCTACAGTGCATTGAAAACCGATTAATCCCGTAACAGGCTGTTTTTGTTCCATTTTGGTTTTTTTCTGGTCTGTAAGTCAAATCTCAGTCTGCAAGTCAAACCTAAATTTTGCGGCCAGAGAAGTCTGTAACTCAAAAAGTCTGTAAGTCAAGCCGTCTGTAAGTCAAGGGTCCACTGTATTTTAAAGTTACCCTTTACCTCTGCATCCAGCTGGTCACAGAAGACTGGTCTCACATGAACATGATCTTGGAGGAGCATGCTTGGAACACTGGGCAAAGAGATTTTCTAGTTTTAGAACACTCTAAGGACAGGATAAAAGCCATTATGGATCTGACCAAAGTACTGTACTGCGTAGTGCAACATCTTGTTTCCCATATGGTTAACCAAGTACCTATTGTGGAAATTTGGTAATTTTCTTTTTTATAATTAGCAGAGCATAAAAATACGAACAGTTCCTGCAGCACATAAGAGAGGATAGCAAAAATATCTCAGCTTCCACACTGCCCTTTCTGTTCTCACTAGCTCTTTTTGTATAAAGGGGGGAAATGGCTATACAAGTAAATTAAAGGGAAAAAAAATACAGTTTATCTTCAGTTACAACGAGAAGAATGAAAGGATAAAAAGAAAGAAACCCCAGCTTTCAACCATGGGGGAGGTTAGGTCCGCCATTGCAACTGCATGGGAGAGGGCAAGAACACAGGTTTACATGTGTGCTCTCTCCAATGGTCAGGGAAGAAGAGAGGCAGGCAAACAAACAAGCAGGAAGTTGGGAGAGGGAAAACTCAAGCATGGGGAAAGAAGGACTTTGCTCGTTGATTACTGGGGAAAAGAGGTAGTCACTAGTCAAAGCTCTCTCCCGCTAATATCCAGTGTTAATCGCATGTGTTGCTGTTATTGCAACCCAATCATTATCATCATGTGCTGTCAAGTCAATTCTGACTTAATGGCAATATTCTTCAGGGTTTTCCAGATAGAGAGTACTAAAAAGTGGTTTAGCATTCCCCTTTTCTGTGGGCGCACTGAGATTGTGAAGCTTGCCCAAGGCCATGCAAGCTGGCTCTACTCTCATGAGGCAACAGAAAACTCCTAAGTAGGACATAACCACAACAGCATTCTGCTGTCCATGTTTCTAAATTCAGAGGCTGCTTCTGATCCTGCAGGTAATATTTAGCATTTGGGAGTGGCACTTTTTCAATCACTGTAATCTCCCTGATTTTTTCTAATACTTTTGAAAAATCATCTGCCTTGGCAGCTATCACCATCCTGTTTATATAAGTAGCCATGCAATATTTCTAGAAGGCTTTCTTCTGACATTATACTGCTTGTGTGAATAATCACCATGTAAGCTGCTAAATGCATAACATACTGTTTTATGAAACCTAATGTATGGATTTATGGAATGGTTCAGACTATAAACTGTGTAAAATTTGGTCATGCTCCATTGCCTTCCAAATAGAATTAGTTTACTTCAAACAGTATGCAACTGTTTGATCTGTAGGAGCAGCTGAAAATATATACAGTACTTGTTTTGTAGAAGTAACTTGTCTCAAGCCAGAAAAAGATGCTTTGCTTCACAATAATTGTCTCTGTGTGTATTCTGCAGCAGTTTTAGTTTAGTCATAGACACCTTATTTTCTCTTTCTTTAAAATATTGTTTTACTTCTAAAAATGTCTAAACTACATTCCAGAGCATGTATAACAGATACAACAATTACAGAAGCAAAATACAATACAGGATAATAGCCTACGCGTTAGTAACAGGCTAAAATGTGACAAAGGTAGGGTGAAGCCCATGGTGGGATGGAGGAGGGCAGAAATTTGTTTGTAGACCCACCAAGGTTTTCCATTCTTGTTTTCCGTCTAAAGTACTTAACTATGATTTGCACTTGCCATATAAACCAGAATTAGAAACCAGACTGTAATGTTTCAGGTATGAGCAAATTATGGTTTGCACTAAACAGAACATTATACTGCAGGTGGAATTTGTATTATTCAGCTAAAACAGGGGATGGAGAGTCCAATTCTAAGATTTCACATCAAACAAAGTCAGCTGAGGTTTTTCCTATTAAGTTCTTAAATCTAGAATAGATTATAGTGGGATCCATAGTAGTTTGTGGTTCTCAAAGAGAGCTGTTTTTCAATAATTTTTTTTACTCTCTGTCACTCATTTCTTAATAGTATATTATTTTGTGCCTTTTCCCAAACTCTTGCAAAATGGAGGACAACCCTATAGCTAAGTGTACCTTTTTTGTCATTTAGTTCTCCCATTCCTATTTTTAAATGCTGAACTTAACAACATAGTACTTCATTGTTCGACTGAAGAGGGTGGTGTTTATTCTTTCTCAATTTGATTGTTTTTATTTGTTGTTTTTGACAAGCTCAGAAATAAAAGCTGATATGTAATACATGAGAGGAATGTTTTTTAATGTAGACTGCTATTTAAAATCTCCAAGGCTTTCAAAAGCTTTCCTGCAGCTAATTAAGATAAGGTCATCATTTCAACTTATACCAAGAAATGCAGTTTGAATGTTGCTTAAGAACTGTACAAATTCTATTCCAATACAAAAAAAGTTTTTTTTTCCCTCAGTAATTTAGGTCCAGATAATATCACCAGAATCTGTAGTACAGCCAGAATCCATATATCCTGAAATTTAATTCAGATAAGGTGGAAATACTGAGGTAGTATCTTGCCTGTTTTGAAGGAATTGTATTCTCCCAGATGCAACAAGCTTTGCATTTCAGTGGTACTGCAGAACACGGTTGTTACTTTTAGACATGCAAGTTATGGCAATAATAGGAGTATGTTGACCCATTTTATCTGGCTTTCTCACTTTGCCTTTTCCTGAATAAATCAGACCTGGCTAGAGTCACTAATGTCCTAGTTACTTCAGGCTTGATCACTGTAATGCCTTCTGTGTGGCGTTGCTCTTGAAGACAGACTACAAATGTTAATCCCAAATGCCGGGGCTACCAGAAAGGACTGAATTATGACGTTTCATGTCAATCTAACTGGCTGCAATTTGTTTCCATGCTTAATTTAAGGTGCTGAATATTAGCCTTCAAAACTCTAAACAGGACGGCGACCTGGGTGTCTCAGGAAATCCCTCTTTTTGTACGTGTAATGAGCATCCTTAAATTAGATGTAACAAGCCTGCTTGAGATCTCCATTCAGGTTTTGATGTCCACTTTCTTGTCTCTCTTCTGACAGAAATTCACTGGTGGGAAGAAGAAAAAGGGCCTTTTCCATCATGACAATCTGTTTATGGAATCGTCAGAAATTGTAGCTACTGAGTGGCGTCAGGAACTGCATGCAACCTCATGTCATGAATCAGTGAGCCTCAGGTGGCAGTTATTCCGCAAACAGTTTTCCAGATCGGGCCGAGTTCCACTTACTCAGACTGGCCAATGGGTCATCCATCTGGGCAGGAAGGAAGAGGGTGAACTTCAAGATGGAGTTAAATGTTGCTAAAACAAGAAGTAAGTTCTCTAAGGTGTGTTTTGTTCCTTGCTCTCTCTTTTTGGCTTGTTCTTTTTACCTCGGTTCTAGCCCTGCTACCCCATAATTGTTTTTACTTTTAACTCCTATTCTGTGTTCCAGTCTACTGCTCACAAACAAGTCTTCTCAGAATCTCAGCAGCCAGGTTAGGCTGGTCCCCTTGTTATCTACCTTCAAGTACGCATGGAAAACTTTCAGCAGGGTTTAGCTGGTTAATTTTACCAAGTGAGTTTTTGTTTTTCTTCCTTTTTGGTTATTGTAATTGGTTTGTTGTTTGATTGTATTTGAACTTACGTATAGACCAGTATCTTATTGCTATGCCCAACTGGAGTAAGACCTTTCGACTCAATGGGATTTAACTAAATGTTGATGTCTTATTCAGCAGTTGATTTGATGGGTGTGTTCTTAGCTGGGAAGAACAACAGAGTACTGTCCACTGAGTTTTAGAATTATAAAATTGGAAGAGGCCAACCCTTTACAGGAATTTTGTGGATAAGTTATTTCATCTTACTGTTTGCTGCATGTAGTCTCCATACACTCTTTGTATACCCTAGTATCTGCTTTCATGTGACCTATCAATTGGGTGATGATGAACTATAATGAGGGGGATTCCCCCCATAATCCCAGTTTCAAGAAAGCTGTCCCGCTCCTACCTCACCCAAGACTTTTCATTTCTGATGAAGAGAGAGTTCAAACCTTCTGCACTGTAGTAAGAAGGGTATTGAAAGACAGAATAATTTTGACTGGTGGGAGACCAGCCCAAATCCAAGTTTCAGTAGTCTTGTCTCTCTTTCATCTCACCTTTAAAAAACCCTATCCTTGAACATTGAAGGGAGTGTGTGAGAGAGAATATATGTGCATATTAAGGATGTGACAAATCTTCACAAATTATCCCATCCTCATTGGAAAAAGGTGACCCATTGAGAGATGTCAACACGTTGAGACACCCTGACAGCAACACTGCCAGTTGCTATGGCATCTTTGCTTCTGTCTGGGAGCAAAATGATCAGCATTTTTCTGTCAGCAGGAGCATTCACACCCACCCACCCACATTTGTATTTTGCACAAATGACATTTTAATCAAAAAAATTCATGCACTTTAATGTCAAATGTAGAAAATGCACAAAAACTCTTTTTATTCACAACCACCAGGGAGAAACATTTTGAAATATTTCTTTCTCATAACTGAGAATGAAAGAAGCAAAAGTTTACTCCCTGGCAAGAATGTGCATTTGTGTGGGCATGCACTGTTTGTTTGAGAATGGACATATGGTCTTTCCCCACCCCAACATAAGGTAATTTCAAGATTATTAATTGCTGCAATCCTTTCAATCTGGTAAAAGACAGATTTATATATTCATCAAAATTTGGACAATTTTTGACAAAAGAAGCAATAGTAAAAACCCAAGCTACAAAGCTCTAAGAAAGGGCTTATAAAATAATTACAATAGTATGGCATTTTGTGTAAGCAAGCAATAAAAATGAAGGCCCAACCATATCAGATTTTCTATTAAAGTATAATGTGGGAAGTACTTTCTGGTGTCTATGAAGTATCTCTTTATCAGCCACAAATTTATTTGACCCTTCATCTTAAACCCAGACAGCTTCCTTCCGCCCCTGTCCCAGAGGAGAGCCTAGCAATCAGAGTGAAGTGAAAAGCCAGGTTACTTCTAAAGTGCTGTTACAAAAGATCACCATCACCATCTCCATTAAATATTCCCCATGTATGTGTGCCAGATAACATGTAGTTTCTCCCTTAAGATTGCTTATGTTGGCTCTGTGGAAACTGGATTCAACCCCGAGTTATCTGCCTGTTCTCTTTGATGACTGAGCCCTGCTACCCAAATGGATTTTTAAATTTGCCCACTTTCTCTCCCTACAGAGTTTCTTTTCTAGATGCCAGTTGCTATCTGTTTTCAGCTGATAGCTGTGTGGTCCAGCATGTGCGGTATTTTCAGTATTTATATTTGCTGTCTTAGCCAGGCAGCATGAAAAGGATCACATGTGGAAGAAAACAAAAGTTGCCTGTTTTAAAAAACTGCCACGTTATAGATTTATGGAGAATAAGCCATTTTTCAGGCATAAAAAGGAGCCATTGTATTGTAGGCAAGAAATATGGATCACTGGGGAAGAGTTTTATCATCTCTTTGTTGCAATTGTTTTGTTTATATTTTCTTTGTCTTACAAACAGAAACGGTGTGTCTCTTGTTGAATTACTCCTCCTGTCTACAATTACATTCTGTCAATAATTGGATGATTAACAGCAGATGTGTCACTTAATTTGCGTCACTGCATCGTCTGTGATTTTGAAACTTGCCTGTCTATTCATTTTCAGTTTTTATAATTGCTATGGCACATTCTGGCCAAATTAGTTCCAAGTTTTGTTATTGTTTATTGTTATATGTCATTAAATTGTATTTGACTTATAGGATTTTCAAAGTACACACAAAGGAGTGGTTTTACCAGTGCCACTTGTTCCACTCTTGAGTGTCTATGACCAAATGGGGACTCAACCCTAGTCCATCATTCTGAAACTCCTAGTCCATCATTCTGTTCACTACACCACACTGACAGAAGTTAGCTCCAAATAAATTAAGGCATATCTTTATTAATTCTGATGTGGTGAAACATTTGAAGGACCGAAAGAATGTTGGATTCATTGTCACATCAGAGTATTTAATCAAAAGTTACTTCTGTTATTCCCCACCCCCCCTTTTAATGTGTGAGCAGGAGAAAAGGTTGTTGGCTCTAAAGGAACAGAATAATACAATTTTATCAACACCGAATGGACAGTTGTGTAGATTTGCTCCAGATTCAAGCCAATGTGTTTTTTTTTTCCAAATTGATCCAGAACAATTGTAATTGTTCAGTGATAATGCCAAAGAACTACTGGTTAAGCACCTTTCCTCAGAGTAGAGTTTATAAGGTTCATTATGGAAAACCATGAAAATCAGAGAGGTTTGAGCATGGTTAAACCTGCAGTGTAGCTGCTCCTAAGGCCAAGGATGGAGAACAAGAGATTGGTGTGAAGTGAGCAGACATGGCTCAAAGTGTTTGCAGCAATTCCAAGGAGTATTAGGGGCCTCTGCAGGCTTTTTCCTCTGGCATTACTAATATCCAAAGATAATTTTATTTTGAATTTGTTGTGCTTCTTGTTGCTTACTTGACTTCTTTGCTCTTTTAATTTTTGCTTGTATATCTTCCTGTAGGAACAGCCAGAATTCAGATAGCCGATTGCAGGCAGATGTACTGCCAGGTCATGAATTTAGGCTAGTTATCAAAGAATTCAAAGAAGGAACCAAATCCATAGTTATTATTTCTACAAGATTTATTTTTCGAAGTTGTGTTTTAGTGATATTGTTTGATATCTTTATAAAACTCCATAGATACTTTCTCAGAGCATTCTTTTTTTAAAACTCCAAACTTTCAAAACCTACGATTACGTGAGGCACCCATCCATATTGTTGACCATGTCTATGCCTGCTTAATGGCAGTAATGTTTCCTTGCTTGCAGTTCCTGAACTATCCACTGGGCACTCTTCCAATGTATTCTGCAAAATTAGTCTTCTAAAGCTTCATACTAATTATGATATAGCATCTGTAAATCATTGTAAATATCATACTGTGTGCTATGTAACTGTATGATTAGTACATTTTACACATACAAAAATTGATCTTTTAACAGTCTGGCTTTGTTGCAAATCAAAATTTGGAGGGGTGATGGTTGTCTGAATTTTAAGCCCTCATTTTTTCTGGGTTCAGTTTTTGTTTATTGCTGTTTAGAACTTAAAACATTTGGATGCACAACATGCACAATTTGTTTTCTGTAATAAGCAGGGAAATTTTTTACTTCCTGACTGTACCCTCAAAGTTGAAGGGGTGAAGCAGCTGGCAAGTGTGTGCACATGCAGGGTGGATCTCTTCCATTTCAACCTATGTATTGTATTTCATCTTAGGAACCAGTCTTAAACTGGCAAAGGAAAACTGAGCTGTTAAACTATTAACACTTTATTAAACTATGGCCTACTGAAAGTCTTAAATCACTACATTCAATGGCAATTCATTTGGCTCTTTTAATTTTTGCTTGTATATCTTCCTGTAGGAACAGCCAGAATTCAGCCAGCCAATTGCAGGCTTGTGACATACCTCAGACCTGCTTTCCAGTGAGGCTGCTTCTTCACAACTTTCTTTTATAGGTTTGTAAAATATAATCTATATGTACTTTTATTCAAGAAAATAGACATTATTTTCAGGATTATTTGAGGGAGCATTTTCTATAACAGCATAAATTCATGGCAATATGGAAATTTGCCTAGGGCAGTGGTTCGCAGTCTTACTAACCCAGGTGTTCTTGGGCTGCAATTCCGAGAAGCCTTCACCATTAGCTGTGCTGGCCAGGGTTTTTGGAAACTGCAGTCCAGGAATAACTGGGTTAACCAAGGTTGCAAACCACTGGCCTAAGGTATAAACCTGAGGTCAGTAATCATTCTCAGAGTATCTCACAAAATGAATAGTCTGTGCATAAATCTTTATATCGAACTCTGTGACCAACTTCTTTTCTGTAGAAGCCCATTGGTTTAGAGAGAGATATAAATGTTGTGCCGTTGCCTTGGATTTGTGAAATTATATGTGTTTCCAGAACCAAATATGGAGAAGATTCATATGAATGTCACTTTGCTGATGCAAGTGAGTTCCTTTGTGTAATGATGAGAAAGTAAGGATAGGAGAAATATGTAATCAAAGAGTTATATAACCAGAAGATGCCTTCACATGAGCCTAAAGCCACCAAATAATCCTTAGCAACTTACACCAAAGGTAGGGATGTTTGTTTTACTGCATTGGTCAACATCCAACTAGGGTCATTGCTGGAGTTATGTGTAACTCTTGGGCTTCTATTTATGTAGGAGTTGACAAGTATTTGTTTTGGTTGGAGTCCACAAGCTTCACACCCCTAGGTTTCACTTTGAGATTTCATTATGAGTGAAAATTAAAGATATTTGTCTGGTTTGGGGTTAAAACCTCAAGTAACCACAACCTTTTCTCTAGAGCATAAAGGGAGAGGAGACAGTTCATTTGGAAAAGGATAGATATGCTGAGCTTTGTGAACTTTTCAAGGGAGCAGTGGTTAAGTAGCGACACTTGGTGTGGTTTGTGACACTTGGTGTGGGTTGGATGTATGTTTCTGGATACAGCAGCTCAAAGTTCATGGCCTGTTTAAAACATTCTTTCCACCACAGTTCCTGTAAATTCACTGAGAAAGTTATTTTCCCACATGCAGTGTAATAGGTGACCCACACTTTGATAGTGCTGCCTATATTCTCTTCTAAACATTTTACCACCAAAAGCACCTAGTCTCATTTGACTTTAGGCTTGTGTGTTCTTTTGAAAACTTCTTACCAGTTGTTCCTTTTATCTCTTGACTCCCTCTTTTAGCATTCCAGTCCCCTATAATGAGAAGAACATCTTTCTTTGATGTCAGTTCTAGAAGGTGTTGTAAGTCTTCATAGAATTGGTCAATTTCAGCCTCTTAAGCATCGGGGGTTGGTGCATAAACTTGGATTACTTTGAGGTGGAAAGGTCTGCCTTGGATTCATATCGAAATCATTCTATCATTTTTGAGACTGTATCCCAGAAAAGCTTTTCCCACTCTTTTGTTGACTATGAGGGCTACTCCATTTCTTCTACGGGATTCTTGCCCACAATAGTAGATATGGTAATCATCTGAATTGAAATCGCCCATTCCTGTCCATTTTAGTTCACTGACACCCAGGATGTCAATGTTTATTCTTGCCATCTCTTGTTTGACCACATCCAGCTTACCAAGGTTCATAGATCTTGCATTCCAGGTTCCTATGCAGTATTTTTCTTTGCCGCACCGGACTTTCCTTTCACTTCCAGGTGTGTCCGCAGCTGAGCATCCTTTCAGCTTTGGCCCAACCATTTCATTAGCTCTGGAGCTACTTGTACTTGTCCTCTGCTCTTCCTTAGTAGCATGTTGGACGCCTTCCGACCTGAGGGGCTCATCTTCCAGCATCATATCTTTTAGCCTTTTTTTTCTGTTCATGGAGTTTTCTTGGCAAAGATACTGGAGTGGCTTGCAAGTTCCTGCTCCAGGGGAATTGTGTTTAGTCAGAACCCTCCACTATGTCCTTTCCATCTTGGGTGTCCCTGCATGGCATAGCCCATGGATTCTCTGAATTACTCCAGCCCCTTCGCTACGACAAGTCAGCAATCCGTGAAGGGGATTTAAGTACGGTAGTGCCTTGCATAGTTAAGCATCTAGTGAGTCTGAAATCGATTTCGTCACTATGCAATATTAAAAAGCCCATAGGAATGCATTGAAACCCCTTCAATGCGTTCCTATGGGCTTCAGACTCACCTTTAAGCAAAAATCCTCCATACGGCGACCATTTTTGCTGCCCGGTAAGCGAGGAATCCGTCCCAGAAAACAGCGGACAGCCATTTTTTTAACCCTGTGGCCATTTTGGAACCGTCAATCAGCTGGTAGAAAATCATCGCTTTGTGATGATCGGTAAGCAAAACAGGGTACCGATCATCACAAAGCTATTTTTCCCCATTTAAAACATTGCAATGCGATCGCAAAAAGTTCGTCGGTATGCAATTTCTTCATTAAACGGGGTGCCCGTTAAGCGAGGCACCACTGTATAGGTTTGTCAAAACTGGAGGTGGCACCCATGTGCAAGGACAGGCACAAGATTCTTACAGTCAGCAATTTACCTTCTAACTGATTGGTAACATACATTTAAACTTGCTCCTTCCTGAAATTCCAAATAGGTGCTTATTGTGGAATATAGGGTTTATAAGATGCCGATTGTGATGATGATCATTGTCATCACTATTTTAGAACTGCAGACCTGGAAGGGGTCCTGTGGATCATCGAGTTCAACCCCTGTCAAGGAGGCATTTTAGTTTTCTTGTTTTGCCATACACAGGGCCATTTCTGCTGTCCTGTGTACACACTGGTTTTGCATTTAGTTTATGCTGTATTTTCAGTGGTCTTTTGTGCTTGATAGGACTGGAACCAGTTAGCATCCCTTCTCAGTCAGGAGCCAGTAAAAACAAATGTTTGCTGACTTGTGTTCCACTTCCCTCCTCTCTGTTTACTTTTACCTAAAGAGTTTTCCTTCATGCCTCTCTTTTTCTGATCCTAGATGGTACACATGTATGCCAGTGCACAAAGCATAACTGGAGGAAAATTCCTTCTCATTTTAAGTTGAAAAATTCACAGAACGTAAACAAATACACAAAGTCAGAAAGTATCTTTACTGCTTATGACCACATATTACCAGAAGCTAGTTTGTACACAACATAACAGACGCTGCTTGCCTTGATTGTTTGGATCAATAGTAGGGATCTGAATCTCACCATCTCTTGCTCTTGGAGGGGAACCTTTGGGGGGTGTATGTTAAAAAAATCATTCTTTCAGAGAGCTTTCTCTGTTGGGATGCCCATGCACGCATGCACACATATACACATCTGTGGGAATTCTTGTGGGTTTTTTTTTTCTGTAAAAAGCTGTGCAGGATTATTATCATTCCTACAGAGAATGGCACTTTCCTGTTCAGGGTTCACCAAGAGAGAACAGAGGAAGCACCAGTCTGCACAGAATGGTTACTATTCCTGCATAGAATGGCGCCTTTGTTGCACAGGATCCATCAGAAAGGGCATTAAGCTATGCAGAATTAGGCAGATTCCTAGACAGTACAAAGCATAAAAAATGGTTGTGGGTATGAATGAGACTAGGTCTTGTTTTTCTAAGACCTGGGAAATCTCACTGATGGAGGGAGAAGCCTCAGCATGGTGAGACTTGAAGGTTCACTGAGATTAAAAAATTTGGTGAGTACCGATTACATTCCTAGTATGCAATATCATTAGTAAATTCAGCATTTAGAGAAATAATAAATGTTCCTTCTGTTTCATGATCAGAACTGAGCCAGACTTATTTATATAATGAATCCAGCATGTGATGGTAAGACAGGAATAGAACAGCATATGTGAATGTCTTATTTGTTGGAAATAAATTATTCAGAATGCAGTTTCAGATAGAGATTGCAGGGAGAGATAATGGCACTGGGGACTCCCCGCCCCCTCCGCCTGTTCAGGCTACAGTGACATGGAGCATGCTTTTCAGGAATTCACTTAAGTGGAATCAGCTTTGAATAATGCAGCCTAGAAGAAATATTGCTGCCATCCAGCTAGTGTCTGTGGAACAGCATCCTCAGTTTGCATTAGCAGTTGCGTCCACGCACATAGGCACAGATATGACTCTATGTGCAGAGGCAAAATGTACATGTCATGCCTTTAAAAGAGAATTTCTCCGTAGCTATTAGAGAAAAACATTTGTTGTCTCAAGATTATTATTTCTTGATGCTGTCGTTGTTTCCGTGAAATAGTTGACCGCTTCAGTATCAAGCTGCCAGCACATCATGTGGTTTCTCATGTGATGCTGGATTTGTTGCAGTTCAGAAAAGAGAGCTTTTGTGCCTCTACACTCCTGGGCAGTAACATTCAGCAATGCAGAAATCCAAATCCAAAGTGACAGAAATAAAGTTGTGTTATTGATTTATGATGATTCTTATTTTAACGCTTCATTTTTTTGGGGTGGGGTGGGGGCACTCCTGCTCTCTACTTCCTGCAGGATTTGAGCCATGCTGTTTGGAAGGAGCGATTTCGTCTTCTCTCAGAGCGATGACGCTGCACCACTTTCGGCATATCCTGCTTCCCCCATTTACCTGGGTGGATGCCGTTGCTGCTGCTGGGGTTGCTACTGCCTGCCTGCCTGCCTGCTTGCCTGCATTTCAGCCTGGCTCGTACTATAGGAGAGAATCACTCGTCGGCATGTGAATTCACAGACACGATGAAATCTGGGCAGGGCATTGCTGCCAGAATAGAAGAAATGTGCGATGCGGGGTTTATTTTTCTCTTCCCCCCCAAAACATGCAAAATGTAAGTTAAAGGTTTGGGGAGCCAATGTTTAAAGAACGACAGTGCCAGGTAATCCTTTGTATAGAACAAGGGCATCGACAGCAATCCACTATGCACGGAAAGGGCATCAACAGGAAGAATCCAACCACTGCTGCTTGAAGGGATTATTATGGGGAAAGCCATGGTGATACAGCGTTTCACCTCAGAGGAGAGCTGTGCTGGAGATGGATAAATAAATTGTTTGATATGTGTGCCTGTCAGAGCCTAGCCATGGGAGGAAACGAGTGGAAGGGAGCAAGCCAGCAAAAGACAAGGAAGAAGAAAGGCTGTGTGCCGTTTGCTTGTCCGATTCTGTGTCTGTTCATTCCAGCAATGATGCTGGCATAATTTGCAGAACTGTGTCTGGATGGAGGGACTCTGAATTGTAATCTACACACTCCCTAACGTGATCATGGAGGAAACGAAAGGTGTATGTGGCTTAAAGAAAGAAAGAAAGACACAAACACCTTGTGGGGAAAAAGAGAAGTGTGTACAATATAAATGTTATGTCTGTGTTTGTGCATATGTGCCTTGAGATAGATAGTTTTCTGATTCAGGAACGCATAGGAAACCTTTCAGGCTGTAAGATCGGGTTTGGTTTTGGTGTGCTATTTCAACTACCTCGTACCATATATGTTCTTCCGGAATGAACAATTGTCTTGTTTGAAACAGATACATTTGGAGAAAAGTTTCTGGAAAGTGTCTGTCTTTTTCTGTTTTTAACACCTTGAAACATTGACTTTTCCATATGGTCCAGGAAAGAGCTGGTGTGTGATGTTGTTTTTTTTTCCTTCCTTCATCTTTAAAATCTTTATAAACACAGTTGTACTCAGTCTAATTGGAAAAAAAAAGTCTGTATTGTAAATAGAAGTGTGGCCAATCTAATCAAAATAAATTATCCAAGATGATTTTTGTAGTCCAGCTGGCAACTCCTCATTTTCAGATGGTGCAGTGTTCAACCAAGAGGAAATCAGCTATGTATTTACATTTTTAATGCACTTCAGCGTTTGCAATATAAAATGGGGAAATTATATATATATACATATATATTGCTCAGTTTTGGCAAATGGATTGCTCTGAAATACTCAGTGGTGTCTTTTATTTCTGGTGTTTTATGGGCAGAGCAGCAGAGGAACAGTTGTTTTACTCTGCTTCATCTCTTTCTAAGAACAGCTGAACTTGTTTTAATTTGGACAGACAGACTTAATATGGTGAGTGTTGCAAGATCACTCAGGGTGGACACATCTATGTAATGGGCTAAATTAAGTGTTAGAAAAGATGCTTCAGATAAACAGAGGAAACTTGCCTGCCTTTTTAGCATTTGCCTCTTTTGGCATGTGTCTGCATGCACACATGTATGTGTGTGGGTATGTTGTATGCATGCGTTTAAATCCAGATATGATAAATTATTTTTAATGCGTGTCCAAGGGGATTTCTCAGTAGTGACAGCAAATTCTCTTGAAGGGATATGTTACCAAAGAGACCTCTGACTCTTAGAATGTCAGATTATATGTTACCCAGCTGTTGGGGAAATGCCATTTTGGGTTTGTTTTAAAGGGGAGGGGGAGACTGGAATTAGGAAAATCCATTTTGCTCTGCAAGGGAGCTACATCTTTTCCTCAGATAGCATGGTTCTGGCTCTGTCTAGGGCATTTTCAGATGAGAGTGTTGGGGGTGGGGATGGGAAGAAAAAGGGAGAGCTTTGTAACTCATACAAAGCTGCATAGACCAGCAAAATGTCAGCAGCTTGTAATTAGCAGCCCATGGTTACGTCAGCACCCATACCTCTCCAAGAAAAACTGGTGAGTGCCACAAAGTGAGGCACCCTGGTTATCCACCCTGGTTCAAACAAGGGCAGATGGATTAACGAATGGGCTGTGTTTATAATAAATCAAAAATGGAGAGAGGAAAGATACTGTTTCCGAGTCTTATGGAGACTGAGTTAACAAGTCATGTGTGGAAGCTGGTGATGGGGGAGCAGGAGGGAGAGGGATGCAGAGTGTCAGCCTTTCAAAAACTGCAGACCAGTTCCTCTGAGCAAACATTACTGCTCTTTTACTGGCTCTGCGTGCAGGATCTGTTGCCTAGGTATTCAATATGGACATATTGCAGTAGCAGCAAAAAAGGACATGTTAGGAGTGGATGGAATGCTTCCACAGAAGGAAAAAAAGCAAAAACTGCATTTGCCTATTGCATTATAGTGTTGAATTCGTAGTATATTTTGCAATTCCCTTTAGCAGCAATAGAGTGGGGCTTGCCATTGGTCATTTCTGTTTCACAGTGGGCATGTGTATGTGAGAGTTGTTCAATACCATGCAGTGTTCCGAATCTTGCAAACCCTCCCTAAGACCATTTTAACTGAGCCTTACTGGGACATGCTCTGTTTTAGAGCTCCATTTGCAGTCCTGCTGCATGCAAGCACAGCTGTGGAGGTGGGAGGTGCCTGATCTATGATTGGCCTTTTCGCGATGCCTTTTTACGTGGTGTTTTCCTGGCTTTTATCAGCGAGCCTTTGCAACGTGCTGTTTTGTGTTTCTCCCCATCTGTTCTGTGCTGCCCAAATTGCTCAGAGGCTCTCCTGTTTTCCCAGATTCCATACAGAAGTCAGCCTCAGTTCAGCCCTTGTTTATTTAGCCCTCCTTAATAATATGCCTAAAATAGACTGCATTGTGCAAACATGTGTATTTTAGTCTGGGAAAATAGGCGTTTGTCATGAGGGAAAGAGCTGTGGGCTACATGAGACCAACTGTCCGTTGGTTTGCCTCACATGCACTGCAGTTTGAAATCCTTTCATTATGGGAAGGTCACAAAAGCGGCCATTCTCCCACCCTGGCATTTAGAGGATTTGGACAATGTGCCTTAAAATGCTTGGAGGGAGACTCGTGTTGTTCTGCGCGCCCAGCCGGGTGGAAGGATTTTGTCAGGTTTTGTGTCTGTGTGTCAGTTCCAACAGCTGGTCATTAATGCAGGACCCATCTCCCGAGTGAAATGTTAGTGGCGGTGAATGGCTGCCTGATTAATACTGCCCCTTGAAGGGCCCTCCATCCACCAGCCATGCTTGCAGCAGAATGAGGCAGCCTGATTTGATGGCGCTCTAACAGGGTAGTATGTCATTGTGTCGCCAGGCAATTGAGGTTATTATGGGGCAGGGCTGACAGACGGGACAGTGGGGTTACTAGACCGTGGCATTTTTAGAAATACGGGCCTGACCTACTTAGAGTTATTCTTGCTGGCTGGCTGGCAGCTGCATGGTGCATGGAGCCTCCTGATTGGCTGCCACTGTTGCTAGGGGGAATTAGCATGAATTTTTCCACATGCAGGCTCGGTGATTGAATGATAAAAGCTGACTGGAATTAAAGAGATTCAGTTCAGCATTATGTAGATTTGTCTCCTTTATTTCTTTTTCTGGAAGCATAGAGAGAAAAGGAGCAAAAGACAACTTATTCTTTGACCCATTTTCTCCCCTTATCTAGGCAAGGTCAAAATCTTGTGCTATTCTCGTTTGTGAAATGATGTTACAGAGAGAAAGCTATTTAAGATCACATAATGTTTTTAGTACCAGACGGCTGCTTTCTCCTCCTTTATATAGCACTATTCTGAGCTGGACATTTTCTCTAGCACTTTCCAGAGGGAAACAAACAGCTCTCTCTCTCTTTCTCTCTCTCTCTTTCTCTCTCTCTCTCTCTCTCTCTCTCACACACACACACACACACACACACACACACACACACTTAGTTTCTCCCTCTGTGCATTTTTATTCTTTAAAAAAGGAAAGGAATAGAAGCTGCAGTTTGCAGGATGCTTTGCACGCCAGCATTTGTTACAAAATAATCTTAGGGTAATCTTTCGTAGTGCTCTGTTTATATGGAATTCCATTTTAATTACCCTAATGCAGGAAGACATAGACAAGGGTTTCTACATTGCTGCCAGCAGGGCTGTCCTATGAGAAACTGTTTGCTCTTAAGTATACCTATATAGAGATACTACCTATATACCCCCAATTAATGTAATGATATCTTTTCCCCTTGGGGAATTTTTTTTTTCGAGAGGAAGGAATGTATTTGTGTTTTTCCTTGTATGTCTATATCTCCCTGTGTTTTCTTGTCCTTACTCCAAATAATGTGGCTCTGAGTTTTTCATGACACTCCTAGGTTCTTTACAAGGACAAGTGAGATGCTACTCAGTCAACATTGTTTGGGTGTAATCACGAATTCTTACCTTTGTTATCGGCCCTTGCTTGTCAGTGAAAGCTATGTCACATTATTGCTTTTAAAGGTCAGATACATTTTTTCATTATGTTAGCTGAATTTTTGTGATGACACCAGAGGGACCACTTAGTAAGGAATTGAAGGTTTCTTCCTAGAAAAAAAAAAACTGGCACATGGAGTAACAGGTCAAAAGATAAACCTTTTAATTTGCAAAATATATAATCTGTGGTGTAATACAATGAAAATTGATATGGAATTCAGGTTTTTGTTCACACGTTACATGCAAGGAAATCCTATCTAATCAGTGTCTTCTTACCCCCTTTGCCACTTTCATGCCACTGCATTTCTTGCGCTGTTAACAAAAATAAACATGTAACATATCATAAAATCAAAGACAGATGAGCAGTAAGTAGGGAAAAATTAAAAATGATCTTTGCAAACATACACTATTTTTATGTTGATTGCAGTTCCACTTTTCAAAAAGTACTTCAAACAATTCCATAATGAAATTTCAAACAATTTAATAATTTGTACTAACAAACATTCATGTAGGCACAGTGCACATCTGGAGTTAAGCTTATTGCTTGTGGAGCTTTAGTACAGTAGGACCCCATGTATTCACAGGATCACTATCCACAGTTTCACTTATCTGTGGTCTGAAAATATTTTTAACATTAAAAGAAAACCCCCAGAAATAAATATTTCCACAATGTGGTTACCAGAACTGGCCATTAGAGGGAGCCAGAGACAATGCTATGTATAGGGGGGGTCACTTATTACCCAGTTTTTGTCATCCATGGGAGAGCTTGGAATTGATCCTCTGCAGATATGAGGATCCTACTCTGTGCTTTTGATTTTATAACATACCCTGCCAGAATTTCAGGCAATGGTTTTTTTTTTGTTTTTTTTTGGAATGGATTTCCTTGTGTATCTACTTTAACAGTCTTAAGAGTGTGCATTCCTTTTTCTGCCAGTATTGTCTGCCATACTCTTTCATATCAGTTATCCATTGTCAACCCCTCCATCACATTGCTATTTATGGCTGTGCTGCCATCACTAGGAAGGATATCAATTGTTTGTACAGCTGGTGTTCATAGGACCCATATGATAGATAATATAGACTGAGCCCTTTCCGAAACTTAGTAGCTTGATTAGTTATTTTTGAAGTATGACCACCCACATTCATCCAAAATGGCTTCACTTTTGGGCACTCCCATCACAGATGAGCTAACAGTCCTCCATGGTCACATACTCTCCAGTATACATGAAAAAATCTGCGCACTCATTTCAGATAGTTGGGGGTGATGCTTAAGTGTCAATTTAGGATTATTTTTAATGCATTCCCCTTGCTTTGGACCAAAAAGGCTTTAAATTGTGTCGTTACCCAGATTTTCTCCATTGTTGCATACCTCTGTATGTCCCAGTGTTGATCTCTTTGGGGATTATATAGAACGTTTTCTGATAGGAATCTAGTCTACTCAGAAATGGATTAGAAATTCCTTAGGTAAAGGTAAAGGTTCCCCTTGACAATTTTTGTCCAGTCGTGTTCGACTCTAGGGGGCGGTGCTCATCCCTGTTTCCAAGCCATAGAGCCAGCGTTTTGTCCGAAGACAATCTTCCGTGGTCACATGGCCAGTGCAGCTTAGACACAGAACGCTGTTACCTTCCCACCGAGGTGGTCCCTATTTAT